CACTGCTCAAAGGTACAGAAAACATATTCAACAAAATCATAGAAGAAAACTTCCCCAACCTACAGAAGGATATGCCTAGGAAAGTACAAGAAACTTACAGGACACTAAACAGACTGGACCACAAAAAGAAGTCCCCCCGACACATAATAATCAAAACTCCAAATCTACAGAATAAAGAGAAAATATTAAGAGCAGCAAAGGAAAAAAGCCAAGTAACATATAAAGGCAAACCAATCAGAATCACACCCAACTTCTCAATGGAAAATCTGAAAGCCAGAAGGTCTTGGATAGATACCTTACAAGCACCAAGGGAGCATGGATGTCGACCCAGACTACTGTACCCAGCAAAACTCTCAATCACTATAGATGGAGAAAACAAGATATTCCATGACAGAAACAGATTTAAACAATACATATCCACAAATCCAGCACTACAGAAGGCTCTGGAAGGAAAACTCCAACCCAACGAATGTAACTACACTCACAAAAACACAGGCAATAGATTAATTTTACCAAACACAAAAAGAAACAGGAGGGAGAAATCCACAGGCAATGACACCACCAATAAATCCAAGACAAAGAAGAACCAATGAACAATGGACATTAATATCCCTAAATGTCAATGGTCTTAATTTACCCGTAAAAAGATATAGGCTAACAGAATGGATAAGAAGATAGAATCCATCCTTCTGCTGTTTACAAGAAACACACCTCAAGTTCAAAGACAGGAGATACCTCAGAGTAAAAGGATGGGAAAAGATTTTCCAATCAAATGGGCTCAAGGAACAAGCTGGTGTAGCAATCCTAATATCTAACAAATTGGACTTTAAACTAAAATCAATCAAAAGAGATGAAGAAGGGCATTTCATACACATCACAGGAAAAGTCCATCAAGATGAAGTCTCAATCCTGAACATCTATGCCCCCAATACGAAGGCACCCACATTTGTAAAAGAAACATTACTAAAGCTCAAACTACACATAAAACCACACACACTTATAGTAGGAAACTTCAACACCCCCTTACACCACTAGACAGGACCACCAGACAGAAACTTAACAAAGAAACAAAGGATCTGACAGAAGTTATGATCCAACTGGGTTTAACAGATATCTATAAAACATTCCACCCAAACACAAAAGAATATACCTTCTTCTCAGCGCCACATGGAACCTTCTCAAAAATTGACAACATAGTTGACAGCAAAGCAAACCTCCACAGTTGCAAAAGAATTGAAATAACCCCCTGTATCTTATCAGATCACCATGCATTAAAGCTAGAATTCAACAGCAATATGAATTGCAGAAAACCTACATTCTCGTGGAAAATGAATCACACCCAATTGCACCATTCTTGGGTTGAGGTAGAAATAAAAAAGAAATTAAAGACTTCCTAGCTTTTAATGGGAATGTAGACACAACATATCTAAACTTATGGGACACTCTGAAAGCAGCGCTAAGAGGGAAGTTCATAGCACTACGTGCCCACATGAAGAAACTGGAGGAAAGTCACATTAGAGAATTGACAGAACAACGGAAAGCTTTAGAACAAAAAGAAGCAAACTCACCATGGAGGAGTAGATGCCAGGAAATAACCTGAGAGCTGAAATCAATAAAGTAGAAACTAGGAAAACAGTACAAAGAATCAATGAAACGAAAAGTTGCTTCTTTGAGAAGATCAACAAGATAGACAAACCTCAAGCCAAACTAACGAAAAGGCAGAGAGAGGAGGCTAATTAACAAAATCAGAAATGAAAAGGGAGATATAACAACGGACACTGAGAAAATCCAGAGAATCTTTAGGTCATACTTTGAAAACCTGTACTCCACAAAATTGGAAAATCTAAAGGAAATGGACAGATTTCTGGATAAACATCACTTACCAAAATTAAACCAAGATCAGATAAACAGTTTAAATCGACCTATAACCCCTAATGAAATCGAAGCAGTCATCAAAAGGCTCCCAACCAAAAAAGGCCCAGGGCCAGATGGCTTCACTGCAGAATTCTACCAGAAATTCAAACAAGAGCTAATACCAGTACTCATCAAACTGTTCCGCATAATAGAAGCAGATGGGATATTGCCAAACTCTTTCTACGAGGCTACAATCACTTTGATACCCAAGCCCCACAAAAGATATGACTAAGAAAGGGAAGTGCAGACGGATATTGCTCATGAAAATCAATGCTAAAATACTCAATAAAATATTGGCAAACTGAATCCAAGAACATATCAGAAAATCATCCATCGTGATCAAGTAGGCTTCATCCCAGGGATGCAAGGATGTTTCAACATACAAAAATCCATCAATGTAATCCACCATATAAACGAACTGAAAAAGATAAACCACATGATCATCTCACTAGATGCCAATAAATCCCTTCATTTTGTCAAGCCTTTGACAAAATCCAACATCCCTTCATGATAAAGATCTTGGAGAGAACAGGAATAACAGGAACATATC